GCATCAAGAACCAGGTTGACCGGGTACTCGGTACCACCGGTACTTAAAAAAACCTGGTACCGTAACGTTTTCATTTTTTTAGTACCGACTTGGTACCGAAATACCGGGTCTTTTGACAACACTAAAACGCTCTGATCCGTTAACATGGGCGCGGAAAAAATATGCACCACAGACGGAGTGTGTGGACCTGGCGTTACGTTTGTATGCCCGTCCGGTCTGTTCTGTTCTCGTGCTCCATTTAGGCGCACTGCATTCTGATTGGTTCGGATAGCATACTGCGGGAGGTCGGGGGCACGGAAAATCGTGCTATAAAGCGATTTAGAAATCGCGCATGCTCAAATCGCGATTTTATGACGATTTCGATTAATCGCACAGCCCTAATTCAGAATGTAAAATTTAACTTAAAATGTTCATATACTCCAAAAATATGTTCATATACTCCCTTTAATGGCAAAGAACTTTACATAAACACACGTTTATAGTTAAATTTGCTTTTTTTCCATCACTGGCCATAATTCTAACCTTGAAATTAGGCATAAAAGATTAGGCATAACATAACGTCTTAGGAATCATTCATACATGTAAAAATCAGCTGAGAATTGAACAAACAGTTGTAACCTGGTTCAGAGGAAGACAGGAATCATGTCTTTGTGGCAGTCATTTTGGTGATTAAGGGATAATACAAGACTTCACCTTACAAATGGCTGTCAAAAGCAAAAATGTCACAAAATGCACTTCATATTTTGTGAGAAAGCATGACGTGCTAGACCAGAACAGGCACTATTTTTGGAATCAGCATCCCAAAATTAGTAAGAAACAAGCAGTGGATTTCATTCAGCAAATATGATGCAGGGTGGTGATACTAGAGCACCGGAACTAACTGTTATATAATAGTGAAGTAATAGTGTTTACAACCCACTACAGAGACTTAAGGCTTATCTTAAACCAGACCAGATCTTAAACAGAGGCCATGGGGTTGAAACAGTTTTATAGCACCATCTCAGTGACATAACCGATGCCCATCATCCTAACAAGATAAACTATTGTCCCATGACAACCACAAATATTGTAGCTCTTCCCCTAATAAAAACCCTTTTTGCTGCCATGTTGACATGCCGTACTCATTGTGCTTTAATAGTGCGAGCCAGAGATGTTTTATTGCTTTCATATGAGCAGAATGGTGATGTTTCTGAGTGCTGGGGGCTGTTTGAGAAAAACAGGAGGCAGACGGGGTCTTATGGCGTGACTGAGGTACAGACAGAACTCATTCTGTGTGACACATTCAAAGCTTGCGGTCGAAACATAATGACCTCACCTCAGATGAAAGTCATGGCATCAATGGGGTTGTTTTGATAAAGCGTAATTGCTTCCGTGTGCAAAGCAGCTATTACAGGCAAACTTTGGCAGCCTGTAATCAGATAAGTTCAGCTCCTCAAAGTCAGCTAGCCATATGAAATGCATTCAGATCTCTGAAACGTATTCGGACAGGAACAAGAACGTCTTATCTGCATGCTATCGCCACTGTCAACCAATCCGGAAGATATTATGTCAAGAGTGCTAGATGAAAAGTCAAGCATTTTTGAATCATATATTACCATCTCGAAAGATTGAAATCTAGCTTAAAACATGCCATATGTGTTGTAGCTCGCGGTCCGGATTCTTTTGTAAGGTTGCAGAACTGAAACTGAAAGACTGAAATAGCGATGAAAATGTTGGTTATGCATCTTATCTCTGGTGCTGAATCACAAACACACCTCCACACCTTCCCCAAATGTTTTATGAGATACAAATCGTATTTGCTGAACAGCTATTGTTGAATTTCTTTCACCACCATGTGATTTAAGTGTGATGTTTTCTACTGACAAGTGTGCTGATGCTTGATTTCTAAAGCATTTCTGCTTGGTTTAAGAGCTTTTGCATAGGAAGCAGTGTTGTTGTCTACTGGGATCAATAAAAAACTGTATAAATGTCATTTTTAAAGTCAACATGAACCCAGAAATAACCCAGTTTGCTTCGTCTATACATGTTCCTGGTCTTACTGTGCATGATTCATTGGTGTGTTATTCCAAAAAAAAAAAAAAAAACATAATTTCCTGATAAAGGATAACTACCTTTTGTTACTCCAAGTAAAGTGGGTAGCGAATTCCGTTTCATGTTGACATGACACTTCATATAATGTCTTTCTTATTTTCTTTTTTCCCTTCCTCCTAGCTTTTCTTATATAAAGATTTAATTGTTTACAGATGTAATATTGAACCTTGATTTGCCAAAGCTGTTTGTTATAAAGCTGTGAATTATGAAGCACTGTTTTTATGGGCCACTATAAACCTTTGCTGTATTTACTCGGCAAATGTTAACCATAAAGCAGGTGTGTGGCTCTCAGAAGGATCACAGAAGTGCAACACGCAGAGAAGCCAGATCAGCGATTTTCTCAGCCAGGGCAACCTCATGTATTTGATTTAGGCTAATTATCACCACACATTCATACGATGCAGGATAAAAGCAGCTTATGCCTTCTGATCTGTTGGAGTATAAAGTCTGTACCATGAGTGGGCTGCTTTTCAAAGTAACACACACAGTGTGGCCTAAGAGTTTATCCACTTTTATTACCATCACCTGAGACATAAGACGACAGGCTTCTGTAGAAACAACACTATATAAAGGGGTTTGTAAAGGATTTCAATGTTTATGTAAAAGAAATGCCTTGAACTCAGTAGCAATTACTTTGTTTTAAAAGCAGCGCTGAATTTACAGTGTTCGGCTGAGTGATAAAAACTCAAGCCAGTGGAATTAAGGTGACAAAGATGCTGGGTTAACTTGATAGTAAAATGTTACCAAAAAAAAGTTTGAAAATGTTTGAATGTTTATTGGTTTTTTTAAACATTTATGGATGAATTTGTTTTATTACAGTGATGAAAAAAATAATGTACAATTGAAATGACTACAGAAATGACGTTTTATTTCCATTACATTTGTATGAATGAAAATGAACCATTTCAGCCCTTCTCGCTTCTTTATGAGTCCTGACTCCGCAAATACAGAATCTCACAACATTAGCATGCTAACTGTAATTGTTTATCATATAGTTACACTGCTAGCTTTACTCTCAAATTACTCTCAAAATTAGAGCTTGCCTTGAAAGACTTACTGATCTGTATATGTTTCTTAACTGTAAAGGACACTGCCACGTAATAAATGGCTCACGTCTGTTTAATTGGAAGTGAAGGGTGCCTTCATTTGTTTCGCGATCTGGTTTGCCTCTTTTGTGAGCGTATTCCCACACTCTGGGTCGGCTCTGTGAAGCCTGTGCCAGCTGCGGCTGCAGTGGTTTTCTTTCATGTGACATTGAATGGCTGTTTCACTGTGTAATTGTTTTATTAAAAGGGTGTAATTTATTTGAGCTTCATCTGTTTTTTATTTGACTATGTAAGCACTGCAGTAAAGCTCTCTCATGTTTTTGGTTACAGATGCCTTTGATTTTGTTGATATGTTTTTAATGTGCACTCTTTCTTTCTTTTTCTCTCCCTCTCTCTCTTCATAGTTCGACAAGTACGTCCCAAAGCTGGACAATCCTTTCTTGAGACATTCAAATGTAAGTGTCAACATGTTTTGACTGCATAACCTTGCTTTGACTGAAGATGAAGCAGATTATGTACACTTTTTGAGACATATTTGCATGTTTTTTTTAAGCATGCTTGGTTTGATGTTGTTTTCAAAGCAGGATAAAAAGTTGTTATAGCTTAAAGAGATGATAGACACCAAAGAGTTTTGTAAACTTTACATTTACGATGTTTTTTTCTCTGCAGTTCTTTCCCTCCTATCCACCAACAATGCCAGGCATGCCTCCAATGCTTCCACATTCAGGGCCCTTCAGTTCACTGCAAGGAGCCTTCCAGCCAAAGGTTAGACCTCAAAACTATGCATTCACATCATGTGGGAAGGTAGACAGAATTGTTTTGACTTGAGCAGAATGAGAAAGAGACCCATGTTGCTTGTTTGGGCATTTCAAATTTCCCGCTTGCAGACTCTGATATGACCAAGACCAGTAAGTCAAAAATATTTGAAAAATATGGCCCATAAAACTCCAAGCTGTAAGAAAAAAAACAACTGGTGAAAGTTTCTACATATTAATTGTTGGCCAGATCAATCTGTTCTGCAAAACAAAGGACTGGTCTCAAGTCTTGCTCAGTTATGAGAATGGAAATTAAATTTAATCTCCAGAATCTTACAGGACAGGACTAGTGATGCACCGAAAGGTTTTTTTTTTTTTTTTTCATTTGAAACTGAAACGTATTTTTAGCCAAACACAAAACCAAAAATAAAGTTAATTAAATTTGAGTAATTGGGGGATTTAACGTGGTATACTGTTCAGGCTGTCGTTTTCACAGGTAATAAACTTGTTCTTTGGCAGCAAGCCACATATTTCAGGCGAACAATTTGTACATATTGGGAAACTGCTATATTTCTTCTGTTCTGAAAGCGCCTCCTGCTGGCAGAGAATGAATTTGTATTTTTTTTTAAGAAGCCTGTCTGCTGTTTTTGTTCAGACTGATGCGAAAATCAACCCATGTTTTAACGCAGCAAACACGCAGAGTTGTAAATGTGAACCGGTGGATTGACAAGAAGCTCATGCATTATAAAAATAGAAACAAAGACAGTAAACTACATTTATATGTTATTTAATTAATATAATGATTTATAATAATTGTTTAAATTAATAAATTAAATTAATAATAATTAATACTTTTGACTCATCCATTTTTTCAAAAAAAGGTTTAAAGGCTGAAATGTGAAGTTTAGCATTTTATAAAACTTTTTTTTTTTTTTGGTGAAAACCTGTATCTGAACTGTAAATCATGCATTTTACGGTCATTTTACAGTTAAATATGTTACCACTGACATTGCCCTAACCCACTCATAGTCATATGGTGGTAAGTTTACTTTGTGCAGGTCTTAAAAAAAGGTAGATTTGAGTTTTAAAATCCTGCAGACACCCTGCCAAGTCACAGCCCTAGTGTTTAGCAAATGATCTCCAGGCATGTTAAGCCTTGGATGCTCGTCTGACAGAGACAGATTGAAATCTGGGATGGGTCATGTCTCAATCCCACCCCCCTCTCTTTATCCCAATAAATTCCTGTCACATTTTCTGATAATAAAAGGGCAAAAAAAGTCCCAAGACAAATAAAAATGGGGTCAAATCATTCTACATTTCCTGTATACTGCATAAATGCAGCTGATTGAGAGCCCAGCATCACCTTACCATTAGTATTCAGGGTGCTCTCAAATCCCGCACAGCTGCATTTATACTGCAGACTGACTGAGAAATCTACCACTGCCACATTCTCCACTAATGGATTATGCAAAGAGGCTCAGGCTCAATAACCTGCTGGAGGCTTTTGTGTTAACTTTAGACTGTGGTCTTGAGCAGGGTGGTTACCGTGTGTGTCTTTGCAGTGTGTGTTATATGGCTTTCACTCGCTTGGTGTGTAATGGTTTTTACCTGGCACTTCTCAAATAACGTTAGCTACCAGTCAAAAGTAGAGCCAGTCTGACGTTTCTGAGTATAAATGACTATGGCATCCATGAAACTTGAGACTGAAGTTTTTAAGCTTTAGGCTACACCCATGATGAATCACATGATTTTTTTTTCCCCCAGACCTGATGTTTCCTTTTGAAACAGGATGTTTGGATAGAGCATATCAATGGGGTTATTATGTTCGTGTTAAATAACCAATAGGCTTTAGTTATGTCACAATAATAAACCCTGATTTGGTTTTATAAATACATGCTTCTGCTAAATGTTTTACCCTAGCATATACTGTAGACATCATCAAAGTTAACACACAGAAGCTACAAAATTTCCATTTTCATTTCATAGGATCTTCAGTAAAAAATGCAGGACTTCAGTCATCACACCAAGGAGCCAAAAAATGCAGTGCAATATCTCTGAACAGTGCATGGTTGAAAATAGTAAATAAACAGACTTCAGTGTTGTGCTGCGTTCCATTAGCTTTATCTAAAATGGTCTTAATTTTCTCTCCAGGCCTCAAACCCTATTGATGTTGCAGCACGACCAGGAACGGTCCCGCACACTCTCCTTCAGAAGGACCCACGGGTAAGCCACGCAGTCTGGAGATCCTCTTATGAGATTGGCCATTAAAATCATATCAGGATTGTGATGTTTTTAGTATTTCATGTACCTGGACTTTGTTACAAAACATATCTGTCTGTTTCCTTTTCTCTTTTTCTTCCTCGGCTCCTTACAGATAACGGATCCTTTTAGGACCTCAGTAAGAGTAAGCATCATATTTTCATTCTCTTTCAAATCCCTACATTTTCCTCCTTAAACGCCACCATCTTTGTGCTAATGCTTTGAAATGTCCTCTGTGCTCATGTCAGAAGCCAGGCAAATGGTGTGCAGTGCATGTTCAAATCGCCTGGCAGATCTACCATCATCAGCAGAAGATGAAAGTAAGTTCTCAGAAACCAAAGAGCTTGTCTCTTTCCTTTAGTACAATGTAGCCTTTAGTGTGAGGGAAGTACAAGAATACACAAGTATGCTTTGTAATGATTCATGCATTAAAGACCATCTCAGTAATTTTCCCTCATTAAGGACAGTTTACTCAAAGAACTAGTACTTTTTTTAAAATTTATACACTCACTCCAGTCATATATTATATTGTATTGTATTGTATTATTGAAATGACTTTATCTCACAAAAGCAGATGCACTTGGACCCACATAAACTGGATATGAATGGAAAACTTGATCTGTTCAGCCGTCCTCCAGCTCCAGGTGTGTTCCCTGGGTTCCCCTACCCTCATGATCTGGCCAGACCCCTCTTTTCATCAACAGGTATATGAAGAAAACTCAAAGTAAACATGAACTCAAACTTGACCCTATTTAATAAGAACACACATTCCTGGTTATAGTGTGCACAGTTCACAAAGGAAAAATGTATGCGTAAAATCAAATCCTGCCCTACAAGGTTTTTCTCATTGAATGTCCCGTAAGATGGATAACAAACAACATGCTATATTGATTTAAAATTCTTAAGCTGAAAAGATAACAGTTGTAGATGAAAAGTTGCACAACCATTCCTGGAAATAATTCCCTTTCCTGCTGTGTTGGGAAAGCCTGATGCTAGACCTGACTGCCTTAAGAAATTCTACTTAAATATAATTGATTTTCATTTCACTTATAAGCTAGATTTATAATCCAATCAAGATACTGCTCTCACAGAGTATTTATGTCTTATCTTGTAAATTATACTGCAATCGCTTTATTGGCATGGCTTCAGCATAATAAAATGAATTTGTATGTCTTTTCTTTCTCTCGTGCTCCGTGCTCACTAATTTGCATGTTGTTATTTTGAATGTTGTCTTGGCTCAACGCTGGGGCCACAGGCATGAATATAAATGCTTTTACCTGATATAATTGACTGGTAGCTCTTTGTTGAAGGGCAACATGAGCGTGTCTGCCCTTTAGATTGTAATTATGCAGCGTGGTGTCATGAAGGAGTTTCTTCATTAATGATACACAGTTACAAATGACACATAGTTCAGGCTGAACAGACAGTTGACCCTTTCAAATGCAACCTGAACACTCAATCTAAGACATCACTGTCCTTTTTATTGTCCGGGCAAACTACTCTAACAGCTTATTACTGAGAGTCCTGCCCCAAACGCACGCCATTGGTTGGTTGAGCCAGGCTGACTTCTAGTTGTCTCTGCATATTAAGCTGGAATTGGAGAAAGTATTTAATCTAACAAGACTAATCATTACCCAAGACATCTCCTGTCTCCGTGTATATAGAGACTACATCTGGTGCTGTTTTGGTGACTATTTGAATGGTTTGGCTAACTCTGTCTGCAATCAGTTTGACTGATGATTTTTCCCGTTGTATTCAATAGGATCGGGACATCCAGCTGCTTCACCCTATGGACCGTCTCCTCACCACGCTGGCTTCCTGCCTCCTAGCCATTTGGCAGGTAAGTGTAAGTAAACCGCCATTTTAAATAGTTCCTCTCTTTTCTTTTGTACTTCAAATTATTGTCAAGACCCTCTTTTATTTGATGCGAACATAAACAAGGCAAATACAATCTGTTCCATATGTTGTAGTGCTGCACCTCAGTGGTGATCATTCAGCTATAAAAGCATGTCTTTCTACTAATTAAAAAAAAATAATTAAATACTGTACTTCTATCCCTCATAGCCTTGTTTTTGTTTGTCAAGTATAATGTAATATCTGCTGTAACAACAATGTTTTCAACTAAAACCTGAAAAAAAATAATGCAATCTGCCCTTTCATTTGCACAGCAACAGTGTTTTGGGCACCTGAAATCACAAACTTTTTAAAGCAGGTTTCAAAGTGCACGTTTTTGAAAATGATACCATTATCATCTCCTTGTAAACTACAAACAAAACGCAAATTTGTGAAAAGGTGACATCATGCGCATGCATGTTCAGTCTATAGGTATGTGTACATTCTCATAGTGTTTCTTTACAAAGTGACATCGGCAACTACTAGCCTGTCATGCATAATAATACAGCGTTTTTAGTCAGAAACTTTTCAAAAACGCAAACTTTTCCATTTTTAGTACATTGTTGCTGTGTAAACGTACCATAAGGCTCCCCTTTGGAGAGACACTTCTAAGCCTATTGTTATCAGATTATTCAGTCGGCTCAGAAATGTCAGATATTATAAATTTAACCTCAGCTCAACTTTTAAAATGTATTTCACAATGTAATGATTAATAAATGATTTGGAAACAAATAGTCGTACATATTATATTGGCAAGTTATTCTATAGTAGTCATTTTGCCATGTTGGAATTTGTACAAATATGTCAACAAAACAAGATAAACTTACTTCAGAATACTAAGGCTTGATATTTTATATTGAATGTAACTATTTTTGTTGAACTGGCAGGTGTATAAAAAGTCTAAACAGTGAACACTTACACTTATATTCAAGATGTGATATTGTTTAGATTAATAAATTGGAAAACAAGGCAAAGTTAAGAATATGCTTTGCAGTGTAAAGTGACCATGGTGTTTTAATTTTATCCAAAAGAATCCTAGACTGTCTTTTAGAGAACTTTCTGACCAAAACTACAATGCACAACAAAACATAGTAAAAGTAATATTTTACTATGTATCCTTTTTACTGGCTTTAGATAGTGTTCCCCCACAGTTTCTATCAGATATGTTATTTGAGTTTGGAGCTGAATGCTGATTTCACACAGTGAGCTTTTATGTCAGTCCAATTTGAGTTCATAAACAGCTGGGGCCCAAAGGAAATGGAGAGAAAATGGGTAAAATGCAGAATTGGGTGCAGTGTTGTCTAGTGGTGATAGCTCAGGACCGGTAATCAAAAGGTTTCTCAGTCAAGAACTTAGCAGTGTTGTGCCCTTGAGCAAAGCACTTAAATGAAGGTTGCTCCAGGGGGATTGTTTATGTAAATGAGTATATTGTAAGTTCAAGTTGCTTTGGATAAAAGCACGTGATAAATGACTGCTTGCTTACTTAAGTACACTGTGGATTAGTCATAAATCCATTTCTGGAATCAGGAGTTTAAATTCATGTTTCACATAGAAAAACACTGAATTGTGTTTTTTACCTATGTGGGCTGGAGGTTGTCTGTTTGTATTTAATTTAATTATAAACACAACTATGAATGATTTGGGCTCCTTCACCCATTGCAAGGTACGTATGAACAAATAGCTTAATGTTTTCAGTACTAAGTAGATGGAATAATCACAGAAACCTCTAGAAGAGATCGGAGACACATGAGCTGTTTTGCTTGCTGTCATTTAATCATTTTTCACATCGGACATTTCAAAATGTCCCTGGCTATCACACCCCAATCAGGTATTGCTCTTCATGCCAGCACCTCTTGCTGCCTAATCCGCAGTCAGTGAACACTCTCCAACAGTCTTACTGGGAGAAATAAACAACCCTTAGGGAGTCAGAATAGCAGCAGTAACAGTGACGCAAAAAACAAAGCTTGCTTGTAAGAGAAAAGCCGGTTGGAATGGTCGGGCACCTCCGGCCCCGCGTCGCTAATCCCTGTTTGGCATTTTGCAGATCCATTCAGTCGCTCCAGTACCTTTGGCGGCCTCAGCAACCTTTCAAGCAGTGCCTTCGGTGGATTAGGCAACCCAGCCCTCGGTAAGCCCCGGCCCCCGGCCTCTAGCTCGACTCAGTGCAGCACAGCTTAGCTCTAGACCACAGAGAGTGCAGAGGGAATAAAAAGGAGGTGGGAATGAAAGAAAGGCACTTAGCTTTGCAGCAAATGCCAAATGAGAGTTTAGGGAAGCGGGGGAGGCAGGCCTTACCGCAGACAGTCTTTTGCCAAATTCACACCCCAACTCAACTCAAACTCGCAACCCAACTGGTTTAGCATTGCTCTTGCATTTATTAGTCGCTTGCTAAGTAGGGTGGAAGGTTTGCCATATCTAATTTCCTCTCCCTTCTTCCTTCATTGGCTGAACGGGACTTCTTTTAGTGAAATTGATTGTATTGAAATAGAATCTCTATGGAACGCTTTGCTTTTCATAGCTGTTGACCCCGCTGGGACATTCATTTGTTCACTGCCCTCAAAAGCAGCCCTTGGTACCCCATTTGTAGAAGAAATTACTATACGCCATTAACCTTTCAGCTTGTGTATGCAGAACCTTGACAGAACTGAACAGCGGTCTGTTCAACTGATTATGTTTCTTGTTATTTCAGGGGCCAACAGTGTATTTGGACCCAAAGAGGGTCCAGGGCTGCCTGGTCTCAGTAGTCCTCATCATGACACCTGGAATCGGCTGCACCGAACACCACCCTCCTTCCCGACCCCTCCACAGTGGCCCAAATCCACAGATGCAGAAAGAAGCAGCTCTGCAAACAGCCATGACAGAGAGAGAGAGCGGGAGCGGGAGAAAGAAAAAGAAAGGGAAAGAGACAAAAGGGACTCTTCTATTGGGAAGGAAGAGAAGGATAAAGACAGGTTGGTGTTGTTGATTTCATGGACCAAGGCATCTTATTTTTGCCTTACATATTTGCCTAATTTTTGTCTCCTAATTCAACTAATGATGGGTTCTTTCCTCTTACAGAGACTCTTTAGATCGTAATCGCCATTCGAACCGCTCTTCTCCAGCTTCCGCTCCCGTTAGCTACCAGATCAGCAGCCTGATCCGCTCCAACAGCCAGAACTCGACCGACTCCGGCAGACACCGCAGCGGTAGTGCCGACCGCAACCGTGAGCCTGAGAAAGAGTTGCTGGACCGCCAGCGAGAGGCAGGCATTTTGGGAGACATAAAGGTGAAGGAAAGTCGTTCTCCAGGAAAGGAAATCACAGACAGACGTTCCTCAGATGACTCTCTTAAATCCATCCACCGATCGCCCTCTCCATACTCGAAAAATGTCCTTAACGATGCAGGAATCAAGATGGGTATCCCACAACCGCCACCGATGAAAGAAAGTGAGAGGGATAGGAAGGAGACCAGCTCAGGGGATCTGCTACAGAAGGTGAAGAACGACATGAAGATCAAGGAGGAACGCAAGGAAGAGCCAGACGTGATGGTGGTTGGATCCGAAGCTGCCACTAAACCTCAAGTCCCTCCCCCGCCTC